TTTGTAGGCTTGTAATTGATATTTTGCCTTTGGTTAATTTTTTGTGAATATATGAACTTATTTAGTAGCAAAATTTTGAAAATTTTGGCCCTATTTTTTGTCACCCTTGTTATTGAATTGTAATCTAATGTGGTTTTGTTTAAATTCAAACGAATTCAACTCCGAAGTCCCTATTTGTTTGCATATCCCAGTCTAATGTCCTCATCTCATGCTCTTCCCATCTCTATATGTTCGTCTCTCTCTCTCTCTTCTACACTCTCAACTCCATCTCTCTCATCACTGACGACTTACCAGTTAGCTAAGAGATTACTCCCATTCAACATAATGGTATGTTCCATTATTTTTTTAAACTTTTTTTTTTCCATTTATTTAGTTGTTATTGATGTCATTTGAATTATTTTGAAGTTCAAAGTGAGTTGAGCATTCAATTTGTAGCATGAACTTTTGATTATTTTCATTTCCGTGTATGAGCTTGGTAAAAAGATTGAATCTAGATTTTTTTTAGCATATTTATTATATTATTATTAATTATTTTATTTTTTTACTATATAACCTGTCCGATCAGTGATCCAACAATTGAACCAGTGACACATCCGCACCCTTTTATTGGCCAACAAAACATGCCTTGTGGAACCATGGCATTCCCAATAGCACTTACCATACAAGTCTCCACATATACAACCCACAATTTTTCAATTGCAAAAAATGATATGTAGATAAGTCACTTTACAAATCCGTTAGGGAGTGTCGCTGCTCAGTACCACACAGTTATCTGTGGAAAACCTCACAGCACCTATGTCGGGGCCGAAGCTAAGGCCCTATCGTGTGCTCTAGGCACTAAAGAATAGTTTTAGTCCTATCGAGCTGCTATAACTATGAAGACTTGAACCCAAATATTAATTGGAGAAATTTGAGTTCTTACCCATTGGATCAATCACTCGGTGGTACATCCCACACTTTTCAAAATTGTGCATCTAAAGCATGAAATTCTCATATGGAACCTTATTCAATCCAATGATTTCAACTAAATTGGTTCCAATTTTTGGATTTTCTCCATGGAAGAATTACTCACAATATTTTGGCATCACATTTGTGAAAGTTGTGTGTCTGGCTAACATCCTTGAAATTCTTTAAAAGGTAGATATTGGAGTGAGAGTCAACTATCCACTCAAGTTGAAGCTAGACTAGGTTTGAAAACCTTAGCTTCTAGTTTATCGAAGACCAACCTAAAGGGTAGTAATTCCTGCTTTGATAGTTTGTCCAATGACTCCATCCAGTTTGGAGAACATAGATAGTGTTGCCAAAATGACTCCTAAATATGCTAGATACCCTAATAGCACCAAGATTGACAAATTGGCACTCGTCAAATTAAAACTAGTAAAGCCAACTCCTAGGCTAGGAAGGCCACCACACAAACATAACACCCTATAATTCATTTCTAGAGGGATGCTCCTCACTATGTGAGTGCACACACTGGATGAGAAAGAGGATGTGTGAAACTAGAGTTGATAGCAGGTTACCAACTTGAAATTTGAAAAGATTGAAATTAAATGGATAATAGAGAGAGAGAGAGAGTTTAGTAATTGGCATCTTTTTTAGTTGGTGATTGAGGGGGAAAGACCAAGCAGAGATCTAAGAAGCATGGATACAGACATGGGAATACAACAAAGTTCAAAAATATAGGACACGGGTACGGTAAGAATACGATTATTAAAATAATATAATATATATTTTAAATAATAAAAGAGTTGTATATGTTAAAAATAAAGCATATATCATAACAATATTAATATAAGACCTAACAAATATTAATTTTTTGATTAAAATTGAAATAGATCAAAATAAAATTCACCATTTTTATCAAACGTCATTACATCCATTAACGTTCATAGTAAATAAGTTACATAACAAAAAATACATTAAAAAAAAATAAAATCACACCCCTTTTAATAGTTAGCAATTGGTTTTAAAAAAAAATAAAAAATTCCTAGTGGTATCCTGGCCTTTTCTTGGCCATGTACTAGTCATGTACGATTGAGTTCACTATTCATGACACTTCTAATTTTAACTGTGTCGGACATGTGTCTAATACTACCACGGCACCCCCCGGAAGTATCTGTCCTTCCTAGGCAGTAACTAACCCCAGAGCTTCATCAATGTATATTGTAAGTGGTGACAGATGATGATTACTATGGTTGGTTATCACATATGTTGATAAGTGAAAATATTTATAGAAATGCCTAAATGGCCCATTTACTTGATAGTTTGATATAAACAAGTGTATGTTAAATACTTAAATCTATCTTAAAACAGTGTGTTTTGTGTACGTGGTCTGCAACTCTAATCATCGAAGGTCACCTTGTTGGGTTCTCTGTTTCCATGTCAACTTGTGTCATGTCTGCATCTGTGTCCACAGATCATGGATGACCTGCATGGATCCTCTTTCTCGCCGATCAGGGTTACATATCACTTTTGGTTGAGGGTCTTGCGATAAAAATGCCAAACTGGACGTAGCACAAATGGTATAAACTTGGAATTGTGGTCATGACTTTTAAAGGGAGGATGTGGTTAAGTTTTGAATCTTATTAGTTAGTGATGTGATGCCTTGACCTTTTAGGAGTTGGGTACTATGTTAGAGTGGCTGCATAAAGAAATGGGTCTGGGCCTGCTTTTAATTGGTTTTTGTCACCGAAAGTAAATGAAAAACTTCGATTTAAGGTCTAGGAATGTGGCAAGGCTTTGGATGTTCCGTATGCTGTGGACTGTGCCTGTAAACTGAAATAGGTCGTTACACCAGTTTACATACACAACATATTTATGCCTTTGCTGACAATTCATTATTCACTTTCAATAAAATAACAGCTTAGAAAGTGTAAATACCTAACTGAACTGAGGAGATTCTCCGTGATGTGTTATTTAATATAATTCTGAAACAGTAGTAGGAATATTTTTTTGCTATATTGACCTGCCTCGAAGAAGTTGCAATCATTGATTCTCAATCTACAGCGTGGTCCAAAGTTAAATCACTACAGTCATAGGTCGACAGTGTATCATATGCATCATTATCGCTTCCTTGAGGAATATTGACTGTTAGTAGGCGAGATCAGCTCGCTTTGTTTTTGAAAGGAGGACGAACTTTGCGTTGGTAGGAGGGTAATGATAGACAAACATTGTGGCTTGCATTTTGAAGTCCTGCGTTAATAAATCCAAGATAACCTATGTTAATGTGGGGGATTCCATTACAGAACTCGATGTGGTGGACAAAGGTTTGTGAAAGAAGTTATCATGCAATGGACTGATGACAAATGCCTGTGGCTACGGATGTTGGCTCCTGGTGTTTGTCAGTGTGAGTTATCTAATACATAGACCGCCAACGCAGAGGGACACCGAGAATCCCGGATATATACCACTAGAATACAATGATGTATCTATGTGAGATGGCTTCTTAGACTGTTAGACATATCATCCTTCGCTTGTTTTGATCCATTTGATAGAAGCAGCAAAGGTATAAGGGGTCCTATGAAACTTAAGATTGAACTGCTAATTTGTTCCCCTACTAATTTGTTGACAGAGATTTGGGGCAGTGTCCTGCGGTACATTGAACACTTCTGGTGTGTAGGTTCAATGATAAGAGGGGGATAAGGGTGGGATTGGATTAATTTTATCCGGGAGACCACATTTTTCACTTTTGAATTGTAAATTTCAGCCCATGAGAAGCCCAAAAGGCCTATTCAAGGCCCAAATTATCGGAAGAATTAACATCATGTCAATGGGATATTCTATCCCATTGGGGAAGTGGGTTAAAATTAGGTGGATATTGAGTCTGGTTGGATTATTCGTGTTAAACAACCATCTACTCTAAAAGTTTGATCTATTGGGGAGGGATTTAACTTAAATATTTATACTTCAAAGCGCCCCCTCACATGCAAACTAATATTTCGGCCTAGCATGTAGAATTTGTTTTAATAATATTAGGGTGGCAGCGAGATTCGAACATAGGACCTCCTGCTCTGATACCATATTTAACAACTATCTACTCCAAAAGTTTAAGTTATTGGAGTTGGTGTAACTTAGGTATTTATACTTCAACAATTCACAACAAAAAGATACTAATTTCACCTTTAGAACACCTATTTAGAGGATTAAATTGATGTTTTAGAATTTAGTCCAGCCTTTTGGGCGACAAGAATCCAAGAAAGCTAAACTAACATGGGATTACATTGGATATGCTGCCTTTACCTATTTAATTTAGTGTCAAGTCAAACAAAGCATTGGACTAAAGTAGCTCAAATCTAGACAACTTATTCAACCGGTATGAATTGTGTTGAAGTGGATAGTCTAAACACATCCTTCTGGTAGTATTGTGCTGATATGGGTGCTCCGCGCATTGGGTACCTTCCGGTGGAACACATGCAATTGCAATATAACGAAAAGCAGGTGCATAAGGAACTAATGGTGTACTTATTTATCTACACAGTTGGCAATATTAATCTCAAGGGGTGTGTCAGATTTCTGAAGAAAACACAATATTTAAGAAAACTGTTGCACTGACCTTCGGGGGGGAAAAAATAATGACTGTTGCATCGACATCGTTTAATTTCCTAGATCATGTTTTAGTTTGAAGAATGTGGGCAATACTTCTTGGCCACTAGTGTTTACCAGTTTCCTATCATAGATATGACAATTGTTGCAATTGCTCGTTGTTTCTTCTCAATTTTGGGCTGTCCAACTGCAAGTTGCTATGTAGCTTATGCTGCATTGCATTGTTCAGCAGTCAAACAACATGGATGAAAATTGTCGGTCCAGTTCCTTACCTGAATCTCAGGAAAATACTGACTACCTTTTTTTAGTCTCAGCTTATGCTGCATGAAAAAGGATGGAGAAAACATATACAATTGGTCCATAGGCTGAAAGCTAATTTATTATACTTCCATTTGCCCACTTTTTGCCCGATTTAAAGAATGTCTGACTCCAGTCGGCAATTTTTTGTCAGGTGGAGGACGTGAATTCTTTAGCGACCGAACTTGCAAAAGTGACTGCAAAAGAGCGGGCTTTGCTTGAACAATGCAAAGATTTTTTGTCCATGTTAACAGCTGCACAGGTAAATTTGGTCATTGGGTTTATTCCTCCAATCTTTTTTCGTGGCATCCTATAATTATAAATTCATTTCAATATTATTTAACAGGTTAAGGACTGTAGCTTGAGGACACATATATTACTACATAATCGTGTATCAACTGCCTGACAACACATGTGCAGAACTGATCTAGTTAGACTATCTACTCTAAATGCTAACGTTACACAAAACCTGTCAACGTAACAGAGGTAGCAGTCCAGGTAATAAGAATGCTTCCAACAGCTTTATTTTGGCTTCTCATTTGACATTTTTGAAATCATTGAGATCTTCCCTGTTATGTATCTCATGTATCCAATGATTTCGGAAAATGGCCTTTTCCTCTTAACTAATTTGATGTATACACCTTTTTCCTATTGTTCGACAAAAAGAAAACTGATGTATATATGTAATTGAGATTACTGATATTCCGCTGTTCTTGGAAGAATACCTTGCATCGCCTCGTGAGCTTTCTGCTAGTATGGTTGATTTACTACCTCAAAGTTGATGTCATCTCTCGAGTGAACTAACATAGTTTACTGCCTACGGAAAATTTCTCCCCACATTTTTCACTTCACCGTTTATGAACTAGATTGATTATCAGGACTTAATTCACTGCGTGGGGGGACTGTGTGATCCATGAACAGAGTAGGTAGGTCTATACAAAGATTGAATGGCCTAATTAGATCCTGAGATAGAAAAAAGTTGCTGTCATAGGCTTCCGACGAATCATCAGATTCCAGCGTAGAAGACCGGCAGAAAAACTCTGGCAGAACGTGTACGACCCTGCCTCGGAGCACCGTCTCCACCACGGACTGGCACAAATGCCAGTTCCCAGTCCATAAGAGTCCCACCGCTCCGTTTTCTGGGTTCACCGTCCTTCCACATGCCTCAAACAATAACGATTGAAGCAAAGCTGCATGAGAAACCCAAGACCCCTCAGAACCAAATCAAACCACACCCAATCAATACCCACATAATTCTAACCAATCCCAAGAGTACTGTCCAAATTAAAATTCAAAATTTTCATTCTGAATATGTGTGCATTGCACATTATTTTGCGGGTTGATTTGGGTTTTGATTTGAGTAACATAGTATGGTATCTCTCATCTCAACAGACCACTCGGAAATCAAACACGAAATCGTTACAGGATTAATGAATTAAAGTCTAATTTTAGTGGGTTTTGCTCATAAACTGATGGACCCATTAGACCCATCAAGTAAATGGACCCATTAGACTCATCAAGTAACAAAATTTTAAATCAACTATAAGTGAGATCAAGTCTGTACTAAATCAACTATTGTTACACCCTCTTATTTGTTGGTTGAAAATTTTATGACATTAATGAGACAACAATGTTTATGTATGCTTATGAATAAGTTAAATATGAGATAATACGATTCAATTGCGATCCTTAAGACATATATAAACCTGGTCTTTGGGACTGAGGAGAGGAAGGACATGAGGTCAGCACGGCCAAAGAACTTGGCAACAAAAACTGTGGCATTGGCTTGGGCTTGAGGGCTCTCTATGTCCTGCAGACTTTGTCTCAGTATGCAACTTTCATTGCAACCTTTTCGAAAAACTCGACACCCATTACAGCTCATTTCCGGCACATGTAAGTTAAAAATCCAGCAAAAACTTGGGTACGAAGCAACAAGAAGTTTCTTGGAACACAAGAAACAATCATAGAGGTTGAAGAAAGTAGGGCTCGGGGGAGGCTTGAAGTGAGGGAGAGGCTGAAATTTATAGAGGTATGGACTGTGGAGGGAGGTGGAGTATTATTGGGGGTATACTAACCATGGTTAAGTTGATTTGACTATGGTTAAGTCTTAGGTAACTTTGGTTTGTTTGGTGGGGGTAGGGGGTTTTTTTGTTTTTTTTTGTGGGGGTGGGTGTTTGGGATTTCCAGAGTGTTGGTAAGAGCGGCTCCATGTCTCCGCGCATAGATAATTCCAACACCATTGGATTCTCTTGTTGGAAGGAAGGTATCTTTAGCGGGCAATGTTTTTAAAGTAGGGGAGTCAACTTTACGAAAAACAATGTTGTTTTCACATGAGTATTATCTTGTGTTATTAGCCATCAATAATATACTCTTTTCGTTCTTAAATATATGTCGTTTAAGGTTTTATATAGGGATTAAAAAAATTATTAAATTGCTCTAATATAAGTAAAAAATAATTACACAAAACTAAAATACTCTTATTCAATACATATTGGGAAAGAAAGAAATATGAAAGACACTTAGCTTACAATTAATCTATTAAACACTTGTTGGAAAATAGAGATAAGGGTAAATTTGAAAAAAAAATATTTATTATGCTTTGGTTTCATAAAACGACAGATATTATGGAACAAAAAAAATTGTGTAAAACGACATATATTTAGGAACGAAAAGAGTATAAATAAATAAAAAAGTGGATTCTATATAAATCAATAACTACCCATCTATATAAGTAAATAATTACTCACTCTTTTTCCATATAAACTAATAACTATTCGAGTAGGGTTCATTTTGTTTATTTAAGATTTTATTATTAGTTGATAATATTATATCATCAATACTGACAGATGTCGTATCATTATTGTATTGAATATTCTCTTACATATTAACTTCAGGTTCAATTATAATGTCAAAAAAATTAGTTTTATGTTTAAGGAGAGGATAATACTATAATATTGAAAAAGAATTTCGATACTTTACTAATGTAATTACTTTTATTTCTCAAATTACGCATTTTAAATGTAAAGTTATAACTGATTGTGATGGATATACGCAAAATATTGTGATTGGTCGTGACTACCCCTAGTGAGTTGTAATTTTACTTTTAAAATATGTAATTTTATAAATAAAAATAATAATTAACCTTTAAAAATTATAATTTTCGTGATCGATTATAAACTTTTGTGATCGATCACACCCTTTGAATTTTTAATTTACACCGTAAAAAATTATAACTTGGCTTTAAAAAATTATAATTTTTGGTAAGGACCGTAATTTACTACCTAATGAGATGTTTCATTGCTACTTTCCTACCTCTATGACTCATTCTTTCACTTCCATCATTTAAAAAACGTTTCCTCCATATCTTCTTTAGGGAAAGCAAGGCATTCTTTTATTTATAATATAATTTTAGTACCAAAAAGTTACATTCCACTATTATTTTTTTAAACTAATTAAAATGTGACACACATAATTTTTTTTTGTTTTAGTATTTCATTATACTTTATTATTTTCACACACAATAGTTAAAAATGAATTAACCAATGATTTATGACGATAAATTATTTTTATGTATGATACTGCATTTTTGTCATTTATCCTTTAGGTTAAGGGAAAATTCTATAGTGCCAAAAAAAAAATTCGTTATTGTACCATCAGTTATAATTTTTTATGGTAAAATTACACATTTAAAAGGAGAAGTTACAACTGTTCAAGGGAACAGACACCCATGATCGATCATGGTTTTTCTTCGTACAATTGTAACTTCTCGTTGAATTGTTAATTGACATTTAAAATTTATAATCTAATCTTTGAAAGTTGTAATTTTGGTATCGATTGCAACTTTCCTTGATTGATCATACCCTTTAAAAATTATAACTTACAACCCAAAAAAAATTATTACTTAAATTTAAAAATTATAATTTTTGGTACAATATGATTGGCGATACTCTAGCCTTTCCCTAGGTTAAGAAGCATTCTAAAAAATTTTAATGGACCAATAATTGTTGTCATCCTCGTGCATGACGTAATTGAGACATGAAGAAGCGTTGCTCATGACAGACAAGTCTGCAAATGGTGAGCATGCATTTTAAAACAAAAAGTTAGAAGATTTCCTCCCCCCCCCCCCCCCCCCCCCTCTTTGTGCAAAGTGTTTGCATTCTGGGATGGAAAGTTTACCACATTTTACTACTTTTCTTTAATAAGTTCCGAACTCATAAGGATTTGATAGATGACTCACAATAGAGTACGGTCGATTTAGTTTTGTACCTAGTTTGTGTTTCATGTCGTGCCAGGCGCGACGAGGAGACACAAGTTCGTGCTCGTACATGGGTCGTGCTATAGCCATGCTTGTGTTGTGCCCATTCTTGTTCCTTGTTAAGTCTTGTGCTTGCTGACGTGCTTGGGCACTTAAACGAAAGTTTATTACATATATTTGTCAAGTCGTGTTCGTGTTCGTACAAGGTTTGGAGAAATCTTACACTTCTCTTATATTATTACCTTGATTGCATCTTATCCCCACAATCATTAAAGTGAAACCGTTGCACCATTAACTATTCAACGAATCGTTAAATTTTAATCTTCCACAAATTTTTACATTTTGGACTAAAATAATTCACGAAATTATTTTGAATACTTAGGAGGAGTACACTATGTATAAATCAATAGTTCAGGGGTAAGATAAATTCAAGATCACAATTTAATTATATAAAATATAATATTGATAACTTAAGGGGACATGCAGAGTGAAAAACAAGAATATAATTTCTGGGTTGAAATAAATTTTTTTAAATTGAGAGAATCAATTTTAGCAGTATAAAGCATAATTCTAGAAAGTTGAGGGGCCAAAGCTTGGCTCCGCCACTAATGCATATTCTTGGGTCGGCAAGACCGGTTTCATGTCATGTTGTGCAGCCAACGACAAACCGGTCTTGCCCGATCCCATGAAATTCAGTAATCCAACTATAGGGAAAATTTTACATCTTTGTATCCATTTTGTCACATAGATCTATCATTGAAGAAAATTATAAAAAAGTAAACATGTGGTAGAGGATCCAAGTCCAAGTAGGTGTATTTTATTACTAATCGCCTGGAAAATTTAAGTTTGCAAGTACACTTCCAAGATATAAACATTCAAAAAATTGTGTAATCTCCTAGGATATACTTAATGCGACGATAAGACCATATCAATATTGTCACATAATATTATTCATTTGACAATAATAAAATAATAATTTGATAAATGAATCTCGTAAGATTTAATAACCACCGCATCCATTTAAGATAATAACAACTTACATAAAATATTGAGATTCACGCTATCCATTTACAGGGCGGCCCAAAAAATATGGAGGCCCAAGGTGAAAATATTTAGTTACGCCTTAGCGTTATGCAATTTAATAATATGGATATGACTAAATAAATATTAAATTATAAATATGTACTCATTGAAAATTTATTTTTCGTGTATTTGAGATGTAAAACTACTAATTCATAGTTTTTTCAGTCAAGCTTTGATTAAACATAATTCATTAATTGAAATTGAATTTAGAGAGCAAAATATAATTAAATCTGTTGTCAGTTGAAAATATAGAGAAAGATAATTGAAATTTATTAATACAATAAAATTATTTTTCAAAAAAGAATGTGAGTAAGAATTTCGAAGAATAAGCAAGCTAAACTCAATCTATTTTTCAGCCATTGTGAATGTGTTTTTTAAGTATTAAAAAAATAATTGAGTAAAGAATCGGACCTAGATAAAAAAAAGGTTTCAAATTTAAATTAAGAAAAAAACTACAATAAATAATTAATCAACCAATTGATTTTGATTGTAATAAATTAAAAATATTACATGAGGAGATAACTGATTTTTTTCACTATTTACATAAAAATAGGTAAATGAAAGCTTTTAGCATTACATCTTCATTAATAACTTTCTTCATCTGTCATTTTCTGCAACCTAAGTCTATCTTTCCTCGATAAAAGATATTTAGGCTATAATAATAAGAATAAAGGAGTTGTTGAAGGCCCTAAGGTGGATTTAAATGAGAATAGCCCACCATAGATGAAAGTCAAACTTTAGCAACCAAGTTTACGGGCCATTGCATCTGCTTTCAGCCCATAGCGGAAAAGCTTGATCTCACACAAGTTACGGCCCATTAGCGGTAGCCCACATCTAGCTCGGCCTTGTACCCAAACCCATAGTTAGGCTATTACTTTCCAAAAAACTGCATTTTTCTCGTATGGAGCATCATATCCCGTGTTGGGTTCGTATCAAGTTATTCATTTTACGAGTCTAACAGATTTACCCATTTAGCACTCGGATTCCTGCAACGTGTCTAGAATTGGCCGATCAAAATACAATATAGGATTGTGATACCTACAAAAAAAATAAAATTGGTACTATATAAAAATAATAATTACAGATAATTGATTGTTGAAATAATAGAGTAACGTTGAAAACAATATAAAATAATTATACATGTCATGTTTTTGTGGGACGTTTAACTCTCCTCGGACCCTACAATTTTTGATGTACATATAAGGGGTTTACTATAACTATTCAAATGTCACGAAGTGTCCATGTCAGTAATACAAAACTTAAAATTCGAGTGATTTTAATCCTATTTATTATTAGAAAATAAATAAAATGGAATTAATTAATTAATTATTAATTTTCCAGTGAAGCAATCTTGTTCAACCTCGTCATTCTTGTCTGGCAAACTCTTGTGTTTTATGAGTGAGTGACAGATAATCATCACTTTTTAAAACTTTTGATTTCTTAATTCCCTAGAGAAGGATTATAAATTTTATCAAGACAACACCGTTGGCAATTGAAGGACGTCCTTAACGAGTGAATAATAAAGTACGAAAAACAAAATGGTTCTTTTTTATATTAGGTTAATCTTATTTTGTATCTTGAAAGATGTTTCGATTTTTAATTTGTACCATTCAATATTGAAAAATGTATTTATACCCTCAATTTTATCCACTTGGTATCAATGTGGACCTCGCCTAAATTGCCTTCAATTTTTGGTTATAAATTGAAGCACATGAGTTGCAAGTACTTATGTATAAATTCACACTATGTTAAATTGATTGCAAACGAAGATCTGCAACAACGATGGATATACATCTTCCTCATGCATGAAGCACATACCCTTCAAGCTTAAATTTATAGGGAAAAATTGAACAGCAATCTGAGATAGAGACAGATTCATATTTCTATCACTTTATAACATTGAGGGTATAAATTAAAATTTTTAATATTTAAGGTATAAATTAAGAATTAAAACATTTTTAATAATAAAAAGTAAGATTAACTGTCTTATATTTACAGCATTCAACACCCAAGTGTCATCATAATTTTTTCATTTTTTTCAGGTTTATTGAAAGAGGAGGTTAATTAGTGCCCTTATTAGATTAATTTTGAGCTAAAAAAGTCTATCTATATACAAGATAAGATTTGGTGAGTCTCAATAAAGCATAAACTTGTGTTTCATTAAATAATTATAATGAATTAAATCTCTAGAATACCTGAATTTATCATTTTCAAAAAGAAAAGGATGACATAATGTGTATGTTATGAAGTGATTTAAAGAGACCTCGCATGCACTTTAGTGCAGTAATTGTTGGCAAAAGTTCAACACATTTAACTGCAATTTGTTTTATTATTATTTGGTGTTAATTTAACTTCAATTTCTGTCCACTCACACTGCCACCACCGAAACATTACTGCTAACTATCATCTTGTCTCACCCATGTGCATTTAGGCATTCATTCATCAAAACCCAATAATGCTCACACCATTACATCTGCTGGCGCTTGTCGGCTGCACCACCACACCTGGCGCGGTGATTGCTGGCCGTACCACCACTCTCGCTGCACATAATTATAGTTTACAATCACAGTATTGATCATTGAATTAAAATAATTAAACCACTTCGTTACAAAACCGACATATGAAACAATATCAAGGATTATAAATAATTAAATATGACAAGAAATTAAGATTACATCGTAAGAATCGTTCGATCCATGGCCTAGTTGACTTTGTCAAATTCGAGACATCTTCGAATCAACCTCGGATCCAGTGTCGAAGGCTTGTTGATTACTGGATTTATATAAGCCGATTTAATTTAAATAAAAGGAAGAATAAATATAAAATGAATGAATAATGATCCAGAGAGATCAAATACAAACATGAAAATTCGCTAGTAAATCTAATCTGATTGACTTTCTAAAGAACCCAGATCGGCCGGAAAAGATAAACGAGGCATCTTTGCCGGCATCGGACTTTCAACTTCCTGTTCACCGGTAAATTGACTTTTTCTATTACAGTCAACGCTCAATCCCATAAAGAGATTTGGCGAAGCCGGCAAGTTCAAGTCGAAGTCCCGGTTGTGGCTGTGACTAGAGCCACCGCCTTCCGACGATGTGACTCCGCTAGTGTTGCAGGCGCCGACATTCCCTTCGTAGTGACGCCGCTTGTGACCACCAAGGGCTTGACCGCTGGGGAAGGACTTGTGACAGATGGAGCACTCGTGGGTCTTACCACTTCGGTTGAGTGCAGAGATGCTGGTGGCTGCTGCGGCTGCGGTGGTGGTGGTGGAGGTGGATGGGTTGTTGTCGTCAGAGACGGTGGCTGATGCGGCTGCGGCAGAGAGTTTCCGGTGACTGGCTTTGTGGCCACCAAGAGCCTGGTAGGACGGGAAGGCTCTTTCACAGACAGAGCACTTGTAGGAGTTATTTTGGGTAGCCGGAGAGTCTGTTTGGTTGGTGGTGGTAAAGGCGGCTGTGGTGGTGGCTCGGCCATTAGCCAACATGACGAGGCAGAGAGCTAAATACTCATCTTCGGTTTGCGGGTTTTCAGTACGTGGCCGTTTTGAACGCTTTCTCTTCGCCCAGGATTCAAGAGAGAGATCCATATCTTCATAGTGAAGAGCAGGAGTTGCTGTTCTTGGTGAAGTTAGAGCTTCAAGAGCCATAGAGACAGAGACACGGAAGATAAGAGAGAGAGAGAGTGGGTTGAGTGTGAGAGTGGAGGAGTGAGGGATGGGTTTATAAAGAGGGAGAGTTGGAGCTAGGAAGTTGCGTGAGGAATGGCGGTGGAGGTGTTGTACAGGTTAGTTGACAGTAGGGTTCACACGTCTAGAGGGTGAGTTGGTGGCCGGTGAGTGCGAGGGAAGTCGGTCAATTAGGAGAGTGGTGGAGTGGGTGGAAGGGGCTAAAGGGTGGGGTGGGTTGTGAGGTTGACTTAGCCAATCACAATTGTAGAAATTATTTAATTTTAATGACTTTTAATGATAAAAGGATAAATTTATTAGAGAAATAAATCGACTAAAAACTCATCTAAGGCAATACCAATCCGTTGTATAAAACTTATATACAACGAAAGTTAGATTAGACACGAACTCTCTGTACACAATTCAATTAATTGAATAAATTCAGACTTGTCACGAATCTCGTAGTTCATGATACAATTTTAATTATAGGCATGATTTGCAGATTTAATATAAATTTAACTAGGTTTAATTTAATTTTAATGGGTTCAAATAATAAACGAATAATTATATTAAACCAATTAAATAAATATATAGACAAAAATCAGAATAAAAATTATACCAATTCGGCAACAAAACACAACTTGTACTGCTGGTCAAAACAAACAGACGATTACAGGTAAAACTGGCTTAACGGTGTACTAGCAAAAGATTGACTCACGTATTCGCATCCGTTTCAGAGCTGCCAAACACCACCAATCTTTCTGGTCAATCAACGCATTTACTCCTGACTTTAATCATTATTTTCTTTTATTTTTTGTGAAATCCTAACCTTGCATGCTCTTGATTCTACATGTTATGGTGAAGATACCTGCAATCAGATTGAGCAGTATAACTTATTGATGCACAATCTGTGTTTTCTGAATCATCGAGCATCGTCCCAATACATATTCTTTAAAAACGTGATTATAATGTAATTTCTACGCTTTAAATATTTATAAATTCAGAATTTTCTTATATGTTAAAATGTGATAAATCCGATGAATTGATTGAACCAATTATCCAATCGGGTTATTGCCAAAGTCGTTTTGGGTTTCTTGTTAATCTATTTATTTGACATTATGTGACTAATTTGCCTGTGTTATCACTCTTGACTAAAGTTAAATTTAAGTCTATTAATTTTATATCCATTTTTGTTAATAGTAATTGTCTGCTATGTCTTGTTGGATGAATACCATAACACGTATCTGAGTGACTTACCCACTCTACCTTACTCCATATCCTTCGTCCCTATCACAACCATATATCTATATACATTGTCAACATGTTATTGGTCACTTCTCTCTCTCTCTCACACACACAAAGGTTCCCATTCTGGATCAAATTCTTGATTAGTCACCATTTTTAACTTCCATTTTCGAGTATCTCTCCTACACAAAACTTATGCTTCTTTTTGGAAGTTTCTTTTTAGTTTTTAGTTTTTATTTTTTTGGGTAAATAAGAGAATTATCATTGTTGTTGGTGGAGAACTAGATAGGAATATCCAATCTCATTAAGATCTTCCGTGAGAATCATGTTGTTCTTTCGGTCTTTTGTTTTGTATTTCTTGGATTTAAGTTTTATTATAGTGGATTTACATCACACCTATATATTTCCTTTCGTTTTTTTATATATTATAAATCATTGGTCATTAATTCAAATGGGACTTCGTATATATAACGGATCATCCACTACTATATATATACACTAGAAATAACTCGTATCTGAAGGTACGGTGTAATATAAATAATTTTGAGAGAGATATTGGTGACGGTTAGATAAGTCTATTTGAAACCGTCAGATGAGTTTCTTAAAATCTGTCATATTTTATATTTTATTATAATATAATATATATATCAATCAAAGAATATTTGCACTAATTTACGCGCGATTAATCCCTTTTCAAATCCAATTAAAAATAAGTCATTAACACAAAAATTTAAATATTTAAGAAAAATAAATTCTTCGCTCACCGTCGGTCCGCGCAAAGTAGTTGGCTGTTGTATGGTTGACAGGTGGCGAGCTTGTCTGTTCAAGAGATAAGTACGAGATGACACGTGGCAGTTGTAATTGCATTTAGTCACTTCCTAATATTTCGGACAGTTAAAAAGAGGAGAGCCGTCTAATAATGTAAGGATTGTTGTGGAGACGCCAAGTGGACAGCTTTTTATCCCGTGATGCGCGGCCACGAAATAGCTTGTCGTGTAGACAACTTATACTGGGCTCGTTTATTAGTGTGTCAGGGACGACTTTGGTCAAATCAACACCTTTTAAATGAAATTTATAATTTTATATATATAAATAAAACGAGTTTTAATAAATTCATTTAACGATTTTAAATAGATTTATTTAATGATCAGCAACATCTTTCTCAAATTCATTCACATTAAATTTTTTTGTCCATAATTCATAACTTTTTATTTATCGTGCTTTCACGTACGGGTTACCCTAGTCTATAATATAAAACAAGACATGCTTCAATAAGTTCATCAAACAGTCTCAAATAGACTCATTCAACGGTCACCAACATTCCTCTCAAAATTATTTATATTATACTGTATCTTCAGACACGGGTTATCCCTAGTGTACAACAAAAAGACTACAGTACCAATTTTGGTATTATACTCAAAATTATAATTTTATAAAAGACATGATTGATCCTAAAATTTTATGATCGTCAAGTAATAACTTTTAAAAAAGAAATTACATTTGATTGAATAAATATGTGATCAATCATAAAATACTTTAAACGTAATAATTTTTAGTATTGATGGTGCTCAAAATCAACTAACCTAATTACATAACAACATGGACTGCGGCCCAAAGGGAATGAATCTGAGACTATGTGACAGAATGTGTGCTAAATGTTAAAGGTAAGATAAAAACGAAAATATGAGTAGTTCACCATGATTGAGTTTACATCCATTATAAGGGAAGTTCTTGCTCTTTCAGAATTGTATTTCTTGGGAAAGAAGTTTCCTGTTACAAGGGATTTGGCTGGAAGCCTTTTACAGAGTGTTTCATCCTTTCTTGCACTCACTTATGCCTTGAACGAAATATGTGAGACATTTCTATTGTCGGTGAATATTCGTTCATCCGAATTGTCAGATACTGTCCCATTATTTTCTGTCCACGTGCCATGGCACGGTCATTAGTGAATTGCCTGGTGCCGAACTCTCAATTTTCGAGCAGATATTAGTATCAAACTGGTTTATGCCGAGCTGACATCTATTATAAGCTGAATTTATCTAATAAATCTGCATTCTACACTATCAAACTTTGATATATTATAAAAAAAGAAAAATACAATAATAGAGTTAACTATTTTTTTAAAAGAGTAGTTACATGTGCAATAATGACCAGAGAGTGGTAAATGAAAACTATGTTTTGCAATTGAATAAATTTACGTTCTTGAAAATTAAGAGATAAATAGAGAAGACTTCCAAAGTTACCTTTCCTTAATAAGAATCTTTTGCATAATAGTATAGAATCTTTTGCAAATATTTAATTAGATGGAATGACACATTAGGAATTGTAATGCTAATCCCAATCCACCCATTAGAATACATAATGTTGTTTTTAATGATGATTGTGGGTTTGGATTCATAATAATATTTAAAAAAAAAACCTTTGCCAAACATAGAACTTGTGAACCCCATGTTTATTTTACCCAATCCAATTCATGTATTCAACGAATTAAAAGTTTTTTTGTGAAATTGTAATTGGCTACTTTGAAATAAGAGAACTCTCGTTGTACACTTATATATGGATATGAAACTCGTAAAACTAGTTGAGTTAATACAAAATCTATTTTCGCACATAGAATTTACTAAATCCACTACTTAACTAACTGTGGCTATATGATGCGGTGATATAAACATTCGTTGCTTGTTGCTGGACCACCCCAGCCCGCACTCCAACGAGACGGTTTTTCACCCACCTTCAATAAAATTTTTCTTTTAAAAAAAGAACGCCCCTACTATCTGACATGCAAAATTAGTTTTTCACCTACTTATTGTTGAACCTCTTCGCCACTAAATCAACACACGCCAGAGGTGACCAAGTTGCTATTCACTCATTTGAAAAAATTATTTAATGGATTTAGTATTCAAGCACGTTTGTGACGCTTTCAAGATGCAAGACTGAGTCCACTTTTCCTTTCCCACTTTACCTTTTTTTTTAATTGATATATTTTTCAGTGCATTGTTATTCTAATTTTACATAATAATAATAGATAATTTTTTTATAGATTCAAGTAAAACCCATTATTTAATTAGTGAATTCCTCATTTATATATGATAAGTGAACCATGGTAGAATGAAATTAAATAAAAGTAAAATGACCTTATTTGTTGAACCCAATTCACCCCCAACACCACCAAAACAAAAACAAATAATAATAGTATTTAGATTTTTTTTTTGTTTGGTTTGGTTTGGTTTGCGGAGCATTAAGACCATGAGAAGTCCCTTTTGTCACCTCATAGTTGGCTGATTTCGAGGCATTTTCAAGCATATGTTCATTGAGAATCCTATGTTTGGTAGATTCAATTATTTGACCCTATTATGGAGATTAAGTCAAGGTAATAATCAAATACACCAATTTTTTAAAATATACCACATGCTAATATATATACATACACCTGTCAATGCTAGTGGCGGCCGTGACAAATGGCTGAGGTAGGGAAGACATCGATGGTAATGGTGGTAGCATTATTTGTCATAGTAATTGTAATAGTGGCAAAGATGGTGATAATAGCTGGATGACAGTGGTAATAATAGTGATCGGTATCAACGGTAGCAATTGTTGTAATAGTAGTAGTAATGGATGAAAAAATAAGAAGTTTTTTTGTTTAAAAGTTACTAGTCTTTTTTATAGTCAGGCACTGTTGCAGGGAAGGGGACGTTAAGGTTCAAATTCGTGATCTTAAGATCTAATAACGTGGACGGTGATTTTTTTTTTTTCTCTGGTTACATGGAAGGTGGTTATCAGACCAATCGCTGCTGACGTTGCCAGTCTAAGTTGGTTGCTTGCAAAATCCAACCTAGGTTTGCAGGCCCAAGACCATTTCATTATCCCAAACTTTTAAACATTTTTAAGTGTTCCCTACTTCAAGCTCCAATAGTCCCAAATTGGATTAGATTTCAAAATGTAAAGTTGGATCCAACAAAAGTTGTACAATGAGAATCGGACAATCAAAATAATGTTACTTAATGTGCATCATCATCCAATGAGACTCTAAGTCACAGATGATAACCCCGAAGCGTTCTCTATTCAAATTCGAATCGACGAAATTAAATGAAATTTCAAAAAAAAAAAATGAAGCTAGGTCTAATACATATCTGTACGATAAGAATCGAACAATTGGGATTTTCCACTTACCTTGCATCACCCGATGATGAGAATTGGAATTTGAAACAACAATGCGACTGAATTCTGATCGTACGATTCTCATTAAAATTCACGGGGATGGACCCAACTTCAAGTTTGGTAACACTATCTACAGTAAAATTCTGGCCCAACAGAAGCCCAGTATAGTTCGGCCTGAACCATTTAGTCCCAGTGTCAACCCAAATTAAAGCCCAAAGACCCAGGTTCTAGAACGTGTGATAAGGTGTAAAAATTGCAATGCTGCTCAGTAACGCCATAACCCCAAAATTCCCAGCCTCTCCTCTTCCATCACAGCCATTGAAGATTGAAAACCCTCTGGGAGAGAACCGTCACATAGCAGTTTAGGGAGAGAAAGTGTCACCATGGCGACGTCTCTGCTTTTTTCTCCTCATATCTCTCCTCCAACCTTCGCGAATCGCGAACTGAGTCTTGGTAGTATGGGCCTCTTTAAGTCCTCTTTCTTCTGCAACCCTAAGCTTATCTTTTCCTCTTCTCCTCCTAAAACGCGAGCAAACCCATTTCCAAGATGTTGTTATAAGTCTCCGTTGGCGAAATCTCTCGACCACATACCGAAAGAGTTCAGAGGAGAAAATCTTAAAGATGGATGTGAGTACCCCCACCCCTTTTTTTCCACAAACACACACTCACACTGTTTCATATTGAATATTGTTCTATCTGCATTTTTATAAATCTTTGATTCGATTTGGGGTTCGTTCAGTTTTATTTGATTGTTGATGAGGTTTATATATGAATTCTTGAGTACAAGAAATTTGGGGGTTTCTGATATTACTTTCTGGGGTTTCTTTTTTTGCATCATAAATATAAATTTGTGTCTGTTCACATTCATGTAGTTATGTGGAATCTTGTGTATATAATCCCACAATCAGTTCAACTATATTTCAAAAGATATTTAATTCAATTGTCTGCACTACACCTATATAGCTTTTGAGCAGTATTCCATTCATTTTTTAAGCTTATCTATGGTATTGAGAAATTTTATGGAAGAGATAGATTCGTAACTGGTTATAATTTCCTGTGGTTCAGCAATACAAATGCTTTTTATGTTCACCAAACTCAATCAAGTGACATTATTTAATAGCTTTTATGAAGGTTTTTCTTGCAAAAAGACATATCTTGTGCCACATTTGGGCTTATAAATCTTTATGCCACTGCTCACCTTGACAACTCAACCTCAAAATGTGTTGGGCATTCATCTGGGCAGCCTTGTAGATGTCTGCTCATCTTTGGACACATAATTATGAGTTGAATTATCAAGTTTTTTTGTAACATGTTTTGTCTTTCTTTGGGTAGCGAACACTGGCCTAGATTTTTTGAAATCGTTGTGTAGGCTTGTAGAATGGTCGTTGATTGATTGCATGACAATATGACATGCAATAAGGAGGGATGGTGTCAGGGTTTCACCTCTCATAGATTTCGATTAAATGTTTGAGCAAAATAAATCACAAAAAGTTTGGCGGTATCTGATCCTGGTTGGACCAGGTAAGTGAAATTTCAAATTGTTCTGCTGTTGTTCAGCTAAATAGTAAGTTAGTAACCTGGACAAAAAATATGAGCCCAGAGATAAAATATTTTCCTATTACTTTGCATATCCGAAAGTGATATGCAGGTCCAGGAGCAATTCCATAACTGTCAATCTTTCTATATTCTATTTCCTATCCGCCTGTATGATCAGCTTCTTATCTTTCTTTGATTTTGGAGAGTGTAGCTTCGTCCGTTGTTATGTTACTATCCTGATTAAAGCTAAAGCTTCATTTTTAGCTACAACATAGAACTACTTTAGTTTCAAAGATTGTTCTGATTACAATATGGAATTCCCTATTTCTCATTTTTTGATTCCTCTCCATCCATACCACTAAAAGAATTGCCATAATCGAACATTCCCACAAGATAGAAGCTCTACATTCCTTCACAAATATGGCACAACTAGTCTCGAATAGAGAGATACAACCTCTTGGACTTATCCGCCTGAAGCTAAATGCTTTTCACCTTTGAAACAAATCACAAGTATTAATCTTTCCGTGGGATGCAGTTCAATCAAAAAGTTGCACCTTAATGGGCACTTAGCCTTTCAATGGGGGCGGTTCGACACTATATTTTGAAAAAAGCTTGGGCTTTAGGCCCCTAAATTTTAGATATCATAAATAGTCCATGTAAAAAAATTAAATTCATAAATATTTTAAGGCCTACAAAAAGGCCTTATAAAAACACAAGTCCAATCAAAAACAATTTCATACCTCACTTCAAAGAAGGCTCCATAATTTATAAATTTGAAGCAATAGTCCAAAGAAAAAATTTAAATTCATGCCCAAACAAAAGATTTCAACTTAAGTAGATTGGATCTATTAATTCAGCCGTAAAATTAAAAAGCCCTAAAATTTATTTTTTTTAAATAAAGAAAAGAAAACAAACTATAAAACTAAAACTACTAAAAAATCTAGTTTTAACCCCCAAAAAAAATCAAGTTTAAACTTACCATCATAATTTTTGAATAATTTTTTCTTTCTCTTACCATTAAGTTCAAATATGGTAACAAAAGCTTGAATATAAAAATTTAATCAACATTTTTGTATTTAAAAAAATTAAAAATTAAATTTATTATTAATGTTAAAAATAAAAAGCCTCATTTATCGTTTCTGCTCTAGGCTCCAAAATGTCTCAGGCCACCCCTGCTTTTCAAATAATCAAATGGGGTTCAAAAATTAGAGAAGATGGATCGTCAATCTAACACATGGAAATAAATGTGCTAGAAAATATGCTAGAAGAATCGAGAACCCACAACCTTCTGTCACCCACAATCAAGAAATTCCCCATTACTCTTGATGTTGGCTTCAAGTGAAAATTGAGTTTATTTTCTTATTTGTAACTTTCCCATTCTCTCTTTTGTAGTGATGGACAACTACAAGAATGCCCCTCAATATCTTTACGGTCTTACTCGTTCACAGATGGACATGTTCATGACAGAAGATAATCCTGTTCGCCGACAATCAGAAATAGTGACCGAGGTCTTCTTTTTTTATATGCTCATTCTAACTGTTTACCATACTTTCTTTCCATGGTGGAAGATTTAATCCATTGCAGGTAGTTTCCAAATGTTACTGATCGTTAATAGGTTTTTAACAAGAATTCTTATTCCACAAAAACTTTCTACAGGATAGCATCTCATCTGCCAACAATTATTTGAATAATGGTGGAATGTGGAGTTTATCAGGCATGAACGATAGGGGTCCTTCAAAATACAGTATGAGTGTAAGCATGTATCGTGGGGGAGCCAGAGGATATGGAAGACCGAGAACTGCTCCACCTGATTTGCCATCTTTGCTTTTAGATGCTAGAATTGTCTATTTAGGCATGCCAGTAAGCCACCAGTCCACCATACTAAATATCTTGCTATATGTTACCTTCACACTAAAATGGATTTATACATGTCGCAATGTAGATTTCATTCTAATTATGTCATTATATTTCCTGTCTGATTGCTACAGATTGTGCCAGCTGTAACAGAGCTTCTTGTTGCTCAGTTCATGTGGTTGGATTATGATAACCCATCAAAGCCTATTTATCTTTACATAAATTCATCTGGTACACAGGTAAATGTTTGAATAATTTCTTTTTTTAACAAGAATTCTATATAACCTATCTTCTCAGTCGGTTTGTCTCCTATATTCTTCTATCATTGGCAGTAATGTAAGATTATTTTTGTTTTGCCTGATGTAACACTCTGTGAACTAGTATTGATCTGTTTGTCTAATGCATTTGCCTAGAATGAGAAGATGGAGACTGTTGGATCTGAAACAGAGGCATATGCCGTTGCTGACACCATGGCAGTAAGCATTTAATCATATATGTTGTTATTTTTACTTATTTATGAAATATACCACACAAAGCTTTATGTTCATGGAATTTCATGAATTGTGTCAAGTTGCTTTATTTCTAAATGCCTTTGTCTGGTTTTTTTTTTAATTCCCCCTCCCCCCCCAAAAAAAAAAAAAAAAGTCTAACTTATGCTTCTTTTCTTAATCTGCTTAAAGTACTGCAAATCAGATGTCTACACAGTGAATTGTGGCATGGCATATGGTCAAGCAGCAATGCTTCTATCACTTGGTACCAAGGGCTATCGTGCTTTACAGCCAAATTCCTCCAGTAAGATTCAAGTCTTTCACACATTAGTGTAGTTTCTCATTGTAAACTTTGTAATGCAACTGGGCAAGGTAATGTTGCTTTCTGCATGCTGCTAACATACATGGAATGCACCAACTTTTAATTGGTGGATCACCAATACTGTGGAGTATAGTTTCCATGACCCTGATTATTAGTTGTTAGAGATTCGGCTGCAGTTCATATCCGTTAAGAGGCCATTTTTAAGACAAAGATCCCACTTCTATTTGTTGCCTACCTATTAATTGGGGAGTAATTTCCTGGTAACTGTGGTTATGACTTCTTGCTCATGCAGCCTACTGACAGAGTTTGGTATGAGGGCATCATAGTACTCTCTTTTCTTGTTTCTCACTGCATAAATTTGTGTTGCAGCAAAATTGTATCTGCCAAAAGTCAATAAGTCAAGTGGGGCTGTCATAGATATGTGGATTAAGGTATACACCCTCTCTCTACATATCCAAATACATATTTATATCTCCCCTCCCCCCCCGGCGGCCGGTTTTCCTTCTAAAAGAGTGGCTTTCTTACTTCGCTTCAAGTAGGCGAAAGAACTAGATGCCAACACAGAGTACTACATCGAACTCTTAGCAAAAGGAATTGGGAAACCAAAAGAAGAAATTGAGAAAGACATCCAGCGTCCCAAATATTTCCAAGCACAAGAGGCCATTGCCTATGGCATTGCTGACAAGATAGTTGACTCGAGAGATGCTGCATTTGAGAAACGGGTAATCTTTTGATACATTCTGTCTTCTTCTTACATTACCGTACCCTTTGTCCATACTAATAGTGAGGTCTCATTTATCAGAATTATGATGAAATGCTTGCCCAATCAAAGGCCATGAGGAGGGCACCAGGAGGTACTTCACAAGCAGCTCCCTCTGGATTCAGATGATGCCACGAAGTCATCATGGGCCATTGCTATATTCAAAGAGCAGGATCAAGTTGTTCCACAGTCTGTAAGCTAGCTTTGTCTGAAACTTTGGTTGATGTTGTAGTCGTAATGCAAAGAAAGCTGGTCTCTAAAAATCTGACCAGGTTGTGCTCGACTTAATTTGTACTTATTGAACTCTGTATACATGGGTATATAGGAGGAAGATAGTGCTCTAATACCAACACTTACTGTAAATAAACAAAAGGCGACATCCACACGGTGAATTTTTTGCTTTCGTTGCATATTCTACTTGCATACGGTTTTGCAAAAATTATGTGAATCGCATTTATTTGTGATCCTGTGGTGCTTCAACTTGTTTATGTTTAATTGATTGTTGCAGAATGCATGGAAGATTATGACTCGTATAAGTGCGTAAGTTGCACCAATTTTGATTGCGTTCGAGTCATACTGTAACACATGCCATGTGTTACATTAAATTTTTGTAATTTGTTCTTTTAGGAATTGCAAAAAGTCTAGTCTTTCTTTTGGGAAACAAGAAGTAAATTCATTTTCTGGAGATATGTACTCCACTTAAGAAAGGTATGGTCATTTACGAAGCCATTAGCCAAATAACTTCCCATTAGAAGCATGATCTTTTTAAGTTCGTCAAAGTATGATAAAGCTTTTCAGAAGTAATTTCTTTTAAACAAAAAAAATAAAAGAATTGTTTAATTACTATTTTATAAAAAGTGATCTGAATGCATATTTATAAGCCCGTCAAACGTTCAGATTTTAATTGATTTAAATCTAAATTCAATTTTAAAAATTTAATAATTCGATGAATTTTATCTTAGTGGTTTATATTTAATCTGATTTGAATAACTTCATTAATTAAATTTTAATACATTATACTTAAATTTCAATTAATAATTTTAAAACAATCACTTAATTTCTCTAATACTTATATAAAAATATTGAAATAAATCAGATCAAATTATAAGTGATATATCCGTTTCGATCGAGTTTGGATTTTCAATAAAAAAAATATTAATTTCAATCCGGCTAATCGGATTCAAATTCAAATCCATTAACAGATCTACATATTTATATACAAATAATACACTTATCATATGTACATTTGTGTGTCTGTGTGTGTATATTACTATATATGTGCTTAAGGTTAGACAAAGAAAAAGCCAAAAATAATCATAAAAAACAAACGTTAATTAAAAAACTTGCAAAAAGCCAAAAAAAAAAAAAAGTCACCGTTATCTTGCTTTTTGTTGAACGGGAAAGAATGTCATCAAAATTCAAACGATACCAATTTATGTCTTCTCTCGTCTTATGTTGTACATGGAATGGTATTCTTGAATTTTGTGATGCCCGAGACTTATTTTCGAATTCTCTTAAATAATACCCCTATCAGAATACCCTTCCAACACTAGTAATCTACCCATGAGCCTTTAAATAGTAGGTTGTTTCAAGTAATGGGCAAGAGGAAATCTGCACTTGAATAATATTAGATCAGCCAACAGTTGATGCAATTTTAGTCTAATAACAAAGACAAACATGTCCAAAACTAGTGTAAAACAACCTGAGCTTTTTGCAAGCTCGGTTCATGTGGTAGTATTGGGGTACACTTTCGGCTTTGGCTTCACTTCAACTTCATTCACGCTGCGAACAAATATGCTATCTGGTTCATGACTGCAAAATGAGAGCAGACAAGAGTTAATCGGGAAGAGAATGAGAGAGACTGGCTGAGATGAAGGTCAATTCTTACGGTTTATCTCCCTCTTCATATGTGTAGCTCGATGCAATGGCCAATAATCTGCCATCTCTGCTGAATGATAAGGCTGCGACACTTGTAGGGTACTTTGAGTACTGAGCGTTGAATTCAGAAGAGAAAAACAAGAAAGCAATGCTGGTGATTATGTACTTAAAAGAAAATATACGGATAATAATGATCTCTGGATATATATACCTGATACAACCTCTTCTTGTTGTTCCCATCCCACACATTGACATAACCATCGCACCCCCCGGTTGCAAATGTACCATAGCTGCAGGTTGAATTTGTAAGTAAGAAATGGTAATTGATGGGAAGAACCCATTATTATCTCAGTTGAATGCAAACTTTTGTTTAAGTTTGGAGATATCTAGCGAATTCAATAATCATGTTTTTTATTTGTTTGAAATGATCAATCGTGCTTTCAAAGCCAACCATATCTCACATCTGCCGTACTTGGATGCATACTTCTGGGGTGGTCAAGGCACTTGTTGCATCAAAGCACAGATGATCATGCAATAAACAATGCTCAACCAAAAAATTTCACTAAGTGAAGAATTTTGAGAACTTACACCGGGTGAAATGCAATGGCATTAACAGGGTAGACAATGTCCCTTCCAGCTTCAGATCTCCGATGACACTTGAATGCATATCTGCACACCAATACATGAGATAGTGTAATGGTTGATGAAGAATATGCAAATAGGAATGCCTGCATTTTAAATTCAACAGTATTCCCTAATGGAAGAAAATTGCCTACTCCAAGATGTCTAACTGTCTAGTTACAAAGTGCCCTGCATCAAGTCATTTTGATTAGGGTGCCATCATTTCGCTTAAAGATTTTTAGTGACTATAACCCCCAGATTTCCGAAGTCCAACTACAGCATTGCATACCATGTTAGGATATGGTAAGCCAGTAATTCTCTATGAATATGTTTGAAAGGGGCAGACTGGGCAGATTTCAGCAGCGGAAAGAATTGACAGCAATTTTTTTTTCATGTTCAAAATGGATGAGAAATCTCCCTTGGTTGAATTATATGTTCTTGTCCCCCATTTTCCATTCTGCCAACGTCACTACCAGGAAAAGCATGATATTCTTAAATTACAGAGGAAGAGCTCAAAGGGAAAGACCTGAAATTTGCTACAATTATTTTGCATTTCATCAGAATCAATTGAACACACCCATCCGTGAAGTCAACAATATGACAGGAACATGAAGTCACTGTTGTCATGCAGACTTTGCAAGTTTTTCGATCCTATTATTTGACATAATCCTAGAGGAACATAATGCTATAGAAGCCAGGAAAAAGTGTGTGGAAATCAATCAACAAAAAAGAACATGAGCACTTTATGCTTATCCATGGTGGAAAGAATGCATACTTTTTGGATTGACCAGCCTCGGAAAGATCGAAAAATTCCATTGCAACCCGGCCTTCCACAGAACTAAGAGCATAACCTGTAATTACCATCCAGAGCAACAATTTGAGGAAAAATGCATTGCACGACATAAATCAAATTAGATATTGAGCTTCATTAGACCTCATACACAAAATTAATATTTCCCTGGCAAAAGTAACTAAGCTTTCCGGTTGGCAGCTGTCTTATTTTCTCTTCACTAAGATACTAGTCAGATTACCAGACATCCATAGAATTCTTGCATCAATCAAAATACAGAGTACCAAAAAAGTCCTAAGGTTTAAGATCTATGAACAATATTCACCAAAGAGCAACTAACCCTCTGGTCCAACAGTCACCCTAAAAATGATTTAATTGCTAATTTGAAAATAGTTTGGATAGGAAGACCAGAAAAAGATCCTGAATGTCAAGCCCTTATAACAATGAAAAGGGGTTGGGTCAGATGGATACCTGTGCCATAGGGGTAACAGCGCACACATCTAGTTTGGTATTTGAGAGAAGATTCCCTTCGTTGTTCAGGTTGAGACATATTCCGCAAATCATAAACATTAACATGCCTCCCTGCAGTTGCTACCACTACACGATTGCCAACAAGCGACAGAGAATAGACACGTTCAGGTTGGGTGTAGGTCCCAATAAGCCCGTTTGCTCCTCTAGGATCCCAACACTTCAGGGTCTTGTCCCAACTACCAGTAATCACTTGCCCTGAATCATAATAGATTGAATATATGTTAGTGACTATCAATTCATCTCAAGATTAAAAAAATACCATCAAGACAGACACTCCATACGAGTACATCTACCGAGAACATAGCATTATCCTGAATAACTGCAACCAGTAAGGACACAAGCTATAACTATCAAACATTGACTAAGAATGGTAGTTTCCTTGATTTTTGGAGACAGAACAGTACAAGGCTCTCGCCTATAGCAGGGTTGTCTAACAGAGGAGAGACTTAAGAGGTAGGCAGCCTTACCCTATTTTGGAGAGGCCAATTACCAGATTCGAACCCGTGAAGTATCGCTTCCAAAGAAAACACTTTTTAATGCGAAAACAGGTCTTGATTCTCATCATTTAATTAAAACTTAAGTGATTATTCTATTTTTCCACATGCACAATATCCAAATTTCTTAAAATGTGTGTATGACAATCATATTTATGTAATTAGATATTACATTTTTGGTTAAACATACTGTCAAAAGGTTGCCATATTTACAACTAAAGCTCCTAAACAAATATCCTCCAATTTGTGAGAGAATGATGAAGTGCCTAACCATTCATAAAAACAGATGTTGCTGTACATCCTTTACACCAGCGCATACAAGAAGAAGTCAAATTAGCAATGTAAGAATGCCATAACTATGAAACCTAACCTGTTGCATAGGAGTATTCAATACAGCGTACAGGTGCATCATGCCTTCCCAAAACATCCTCCCTGCCGTAGTTGAAAACGAGCCTGCAATATCCAGAGCACTATATGTCACTGGGCATGACAATTATCTTTGAACAACTTTTTTGTCATTCTCTACAATAACAGGTGAAATTAGAGACAAACAATTCTCACTCTCCATGGATCAACATCAGAGACAACGAAGACAATTGGTCAAAAAGAGTGCAATAAAAATTGTGTCCTGATGCTGGAAAGTGATTAAGTAGATCCTGAAGCAGCATCTACGCCAAAAATGGATCTAGAAAAGTGTGGAGAAGTCATATAACATTACAAGATATTTCAGGAACAACAGATGGTCCACACAAAGAGCTGTTTATTAACGAATCAAAACATCTTGAGTGATCAAAACAGAAGCAATTTTGTTTGTAATAAGTAAACATATAAATAGCATGAACAAAAATTATGTGCATGGTCGACCGTAAGTCTTAAACCATGTAAATCACACAGAGAAAATCAAATGTCGCAGAAACAACAGTAACACATACACATATAGATCATCCATTTGGTTTTAACGACTTATGTGAAAAACTACCAACACTACTCAAAACATCACCTGGGGCATAAAGATTTTACCTCCTTACAGTATTGTCAGCACAAGCACTGAACCCAGAAGAATCGTCATGGAAGCAACAGTCCAGTACAGGCCCACCGTGCATGAACTCACCTCTCAGCACATTGGTACTCACATCATACAAACGTACACTCTGCACAAGATCAAATTTATCCAATCTGGTTCCCATTTAGATCTGAAGTTATTCA